GTCCCGGGGGGACCACACCTGAGAGGGGAACATGGTTGCGGGGGGGCTAGGTAGCCCGGATGATGGCGGAGTGGCCACTTGATAGGAGAGGATCATAGAGGGGTTCTGTGTAGATGATTCTGGGGCCCAGTATGGGGCTGGAGATTAGATGAACATCATGATGCCACCTGCGAGGCTTGGGCTGCGGTTTTGGGAAGGATAGGAGCCGCAGAGAGCGCCCCCTGGCATTGGGGCGCTAGATAGGTAGCTTCCTGCTTAATTGACATCTGATTGAATCAATTATCATCAAAGGTGTGGCGGGCGAGATAGGCGGGCGGTTGCCCACCAGACAGGGGGCGGGCCACAGAGGTCGGCCCCAAGGAGGCCCCCTGTCACAGTTGCCTATATATGAAAAGCAATGAAGTCTCCTTATGGCACATGGAGCCTTTTTGGTTTTGTTTGGGTTTGCTTTGTTGGAAGGAGGCAATGTCTTCCTTTCAATAAAAAATTGCCTCTACCAAACAGTGTGTCAGTCCTTCCAAATTCAAAACTATTGCACTTGAAGCTAAACAATTCTAGGAGGCACTTGTCTGCACCAGGTAATTGCTCTGAGTCACATGGTTACAGTGAAGTTTACTCAACAAAGAGACTGCTTGATAAGTGTACATGGTATACCAGTTGTTCAGGATTTTTTCTGCTGTAGACTGCTTTTGTAGCAGCTACAAAGGTGATCCTTTTGTTATAACAAAATGTTAAACCTGGAGATCATTAAGCCATAAAACCAGAGGGCTCCAACTTTGCCAGTCCTACATCCTCCATGATGTCATGCTTGTGCTTCAAGTTCAAAGACTAAGAAACTACAACAAAACAGTTTTGCAATCTTCCCAGGGCTTATGCAATCAGTCAAGGATTAGCTCCTCAAGATATCTGATAACCAAGTTCTAACAGAAACAGCCATTTCAAGATCTGTGATAGAACCAAAGTGTCACCGGACCCTACGCAAACACATCAGCCCAGAGCAAGGTAAAAAGGAAAGGCAACACAGGAAGAACCTCGCATGCTAAAGTCCTTTTCTCAGATGGAAGGAAAGGAAGTGCAATTCTCACCAACTGCAGCCTTAATCTCCTTTAGGCACCACTAGAAGATTCACTTCCTGCCATTAATATGTATATAGGGGCTTTCTGCTCCAAAGAGTCCTACCATAGAAGGCAGCTCCAACTGCTGGACTAAATTGGAATGGTGCAATAAGCCACTGAAGAAAACAAGCATTTTAGTCATAATCTTTATCATAACCACTTTGAATAACTAATGTGGAGCCGGTGAAGGAACAGTTACAAACACAACTCTTTTCTGTGACCAAAGATTGGGCTGATTTCTAGCCTGCAGTTCTGGTGGGGAATACTTTGGGGAACTCAGTGTGAGCATGCTTTCCTATAAATAGCTTCTGTAAATAGTTTCATAAGTAAGATAACTTATATGCCCTTTTCACCCCAGGTGCAGATGGCAGTCTGGGCCTGGTGACATGCCACAGAGACTGTTCCCCATAACATTATGCTCCATTTGATTGGGTGGCTGCTGGTTCCTTTGTTAATATTATACTTGTGTACAGTTTTCTTGCTAGTGTGACTGACTGTGCCAAATGAAGAGTGGGGCTGTGGGAGAGCTGGAGAGAAAGGAGCAGTCCCAGGGAAGGCAGAGTAGAGAAAAAAGGTGTAGTTCGAAGGAAGACAGAGATCTGGGGAGAAAGGAACAGTCCCAGTGAGGACAGAGTAAAGCCTTAGAGAAGAAGGCCAGAAAGAGCTTGAGAGACCCAAAGAAATCACTGGAGGATGTTGCAATGCCAGAGCTACTGCCACTGCCAGCTCTTCCTTTGCTTGCATGTATGAGGTATCTGTCTAGTTGAGACCACTCATTGTTGAGGCTTCCACCCAGGTCCTGGTTTGGCTCTATGGAGACTGCAGCTTGCAGGTTCCCTCCAGTGCCAGCCAGGTCAGAAAGTGACAGCAAAATGAGTGGTACCTCCTAGTGGTATCCTTCAGGGAGCAGGCAAGAAAACTATAGGAGGTGGCAGCAAAGCCCCCAAGCATCCTCTGCCATAAGGACTTCATTGATTCCATGCTGGAGGAGACCTCTAGTACTGTAGAGGGAGGACTGCCAGAGGCAGAGCTAGAGAAGGAAAAAGACATGGATTCTCAAGAAGGTGGAAGCTGGAAACTTGTTACCTCTGGCAGCACCTGCAATGGTTTGCCTGGAGAATAAATATGGAGCTCTAGCAACAGAGAAGGAGAAGCACATTCCATTGGTGGAAGACTGAAATATGAATTAACATTTTGAAAGAAAGGTTAGGTCTTGCATGTCTTCAGCCCATGCTGAGGAGCCCTGCAGGACAAGACAATTCCAAGTAAATGACGCCAATGTCACCTCCCTTATCCAGGTGGTGAGTAACCTGGTTGTAGAAGGAGATGAGGTAGTAAAACATGACCTACCTGTGACAAAAAACTGTGCTGGCTGTCATTCAGAATTTTGCCTTCTATTAGCTTGTAATCTCCCACAACATTCTTGCAAGCAAGCTATGGAAGTGCATGTTAGATAAATGGACTAATGTAAGGTGGAGAGACAACTGGCTGAATCATCAGGCTGAAAGGATAGTCAATGGCTCAATGTATATTTAGCAGCCAGTATCAAGTTGAGTGCCGCAGGAGTTGTTCCTGGGGCCAGTTTTGTTCAGTATATTCACCAGTGACCTAAAGATGGGATGGGGTGCACCCTCAGCAAGTTTGCAGATGACACCAAGCTTGGGGCAGTAGTAAATACTCTGGAGGGTAAAGATAGGAGTCAGAGAGACCTAGACAAAGTGGAGGATTAGACCAAAAGAAACCTTATGAGGTTCAGTAAGTATAAGTGCAAAGTCCTGCACTTAGGATGGAAAAAATCACATGCACCAATACAGTCTAGGGCCCAGCTGACTAAGGAGCATTTCTGCAGAAAAGGACCTGGGGGTTACAGTGGACAATAAGCTGAATATTAGCCAACAGTATGCCCTTGTTGCGAAGAAAACTAACAGCATACTGGGTTGAATTAGTAGGAGTGTTGCCAGAAGATTGAGGAAAGTAATTATTCCCCTCTATTCAGAACTGATTAGGCCACATCTGAAGTATCTGGAGTACTATATCCAGAGCCATCCCTAGGGGTGTGTGGAGCCTGGGGCATATCAGCCCGTGCAGGTCCAGAGGGTGGCAAGCAGCCAGAGCAGGGCCCGGGGGGTGGGGGTGGCGGCGGCGGCGAGTGGCCAGAGCCAGTGGCATGTAGAGACTGGCGGAGCTTGTATGGCACTGTCTGCTGGGCCCCCCAAAGTGCAGGCCTTGGGGCAGTTACCCTGATTTGCCCCCCACCTTCCCCAGGGACAGTCCTAACTATGTCCAGTATCTGGAGTCCTATGTCCAGTGTGGGGCCCTTGGCCGCCCACTACAGAAAGGATATAGACAAATTAGAGAAAGTTTAGCAGAGGGTAACAAAGATGGTTAGGGGGCAGAAGCACATGATTGAGGAGAGGCTGAGGGAACTGAGCTTATTTAGTCTGGAGAAGAGAAGACTGGGGGGGGAAGAAGTTTAATAGCAGCCTTTAGGTAGTTCCAAAACAGATGGAGCTAGACAGAACAAGAAGCAATGGTCTCAAGTTGCAGCAAGGGAAGTTTAGGTTAGATATTAGGAAAGACTCACCAGGAGGGTAGTAAAGCACTGGAACGGGTTACCCAGAGAGGTTGTGGAATCTCCATCTATTGCAGGTTGTCCATTTGCACAACACAGTCTTTAATTCCCTGAGGTGAACTTGCCCCACATTAAACCATAAATACTCAAATAAACTGAAACAACAATAGTAAAGCATTAACTCATATCCTGTGGTCCTTCCCCAGACCCTGAGAGAGTGCTCTGGCTCAGTGTTGCAGCCTCTGCCTGACAAGCCTTCTCTCTGCCACAGCTGTCTTCCCTGGGAGCTTTTAACTTCCCCAGGGCCAGCCAGTTACCCTCTTCCTAGGCAGGCCTGCAATCACTTTCTTACTGCCTGCAGCTGGGCTGTAGCCCCCCAAGACATGCAGCCTGCTATACCATCCTTGGAGGTTTTTTAAACCCAGCTTGACAAAGCCTTGCCTGAGATATAGTTGGGGATGGTCCTGCTTTGAGCAGGGGGTCAGACTAGATGATCTCCTGATGTCCCTTCTAATCTAATTTTCTATCATTTTATGTTTCTCAGTAGGGGTCTGAGTTAGGACCCCTGGGGAACTGTGGTGCACAATAAAGATAATACTTTTAGAGTTCAGCAGCAGCTATGCTGTTTAGGATGTCAGCATTCTGGTCTCCCTTCCCCCCCCCCTTGAAAAGAGAAATACCCCCCTTCCCAGGAGCTGACCAAAGAAGGAAGCTCTCTGAGGAAAGGTTTTATGGATTGCCAGGAAGGCCAGGGACAAAGAATCAGCATCTCAAGCCAGAGATTGCCCTTTGAGAAACCATGCCAGGGCTAATTTCAAGGGGTCCTGAAGAAGGGAGACTGAATAATTTTTCTTTTTGGGGAGACCCAAAGCAGAGCTTCCCCTGAACCAGTACAGAAGTACACAGGCATTGGCACTTACATGCACACCGAATGTTACAGCACTTCCATTTATTTGGCCATCTCTCAGGGACACGGAGCTTGTCCCATATTAGTAAGAAAGGTAAAGGATCCAAGACACTCACAGAGAGGCTTGTGATTCATACATATGTCAGCAGACTTCTCTGGAAAGGCAGACCTTATCATCAATAGAACCCGACAGCCCCTTGCTCAGCTTCCCTGCAAACTGCTCCTAAAGAACGTGGCTGCCAGGCTCTATTGTTGATTTTGTCCAAGGGCATTCCAAAATAAAATGACTCGGGCCATAATTGTGGGCAAAAATGTTGCCAGGCTGGCAAAGTATTGTGAACATAAGGTAAAGCTATGTATTTATTGGCATCAGCAGATTCAACAAAAAGCTGGATTCTCATGTGCACATTCAATGTAGTTCGTATATCTCACATGTAACAACTCACTGTTTCTACCTCTCTACACACTAAAGAACAGTCACGCAGCAAAGCAAACATAAAGAAGAAACAGTCACGTAGCAGGCAAACATAAAGAAGAACAAAAAGACCATTACAGGGACATAGTAAGAAGACGACAAGTTCCTACCCACAAGATAAAAGGTGCCAACTTATACTGCCACAGACAAAAGACTGACTCTCCTCCCTGCATCAGCAGAGGAATCATAAGCACTGACATGCCACATAAGGGGAGCCTGTGCATTTCCACCTCCAGGAATCTGGAAATCTTTGTGTATTAGCGCACACATATTCTGCCCTCCCAACAGAATACACCCGTTATCTTCTCGCCCCATTTGCACAAGTGTTCACACATATACCTACACACAAATTCACAATTTTGGTACATGGTGATTCTTGCTAGCGCTGTTTTCATTCTCCAATTTCTGTATCCAGGAGTTGGCCACATTACTGTCCCGCCCATGCTGCTGTTACGCAGCCTGGTGACAGAACACCCTCTATTAGCTAGGCTACATCTCAATTCTGAAACCAAGGAATCCCTCCCCGCATTGCACTGCCTCCCTCAATCCTGCTAATTGACTCCACCTACCATGTTCTAAAACACCCTCCCAACATCAATGTTCACTGCTACTTTACTATCCCTCAGGCTGGAGTTCTGGTGACTCTCTCAGTGCTCAGAGGGACTTCATTTCTCTAAGAGCTGGGGGGGCTGGAATCATTGCAGTGACTTGGCAAAAATATGAATGGCAAAAAGTTAGAGATGGAGGACAAGAGGAAATATCCAGAGGCAATAGAAGAAGCCAGAGACAAAATGGTACCCCACTGGGGCACCAGGCTACCCCTAGGAAGGGAATGTAAAAATATCTACACCCATTATTACAACTTCTGTTTACCACGTTAGATAGCGGACATGGGCTAAAAGATGTGTCATCATGCTAATCACTAAAGATAATCCTGAGGCAAATTACATGAGCTCAGTAAAGAGATTATTCAAATTTGCAGAGCTAATGGTGAATTAAGATGCCTGGAAATCCCCATCTGATGATCACAGAGCAGGGCCAAAACCCTTTGAGGATATAGGCAGTCCTTGGACTTACAACACAATTGGTTCCTGAAAATTGCGTCTTGCGTCGAAACGTTGTAGCTTGGAACCAATTTTCTCATAAGAAACAAAATTAAAAACGGGGGATTGATTCCTGAACCTAGGCCCAATACCCTATTTTCACTAAAAATACCCCAGAATTTTGTACTCGATCAGTTATAGATGAGTAATATAGCTACATTAATGTATTTATATTGTAAACAGCAAACACGTTGATTTGGAAGGACTTCTTTGAGGTAACTGGTGGATTATTTGAAAGGCTCTTGGTTGGAATTTTTGAAGGGTTCTTGGCTGGAGTCTTCTCAGGAGTCTTGGCTGCAGGTTTTTCTGGAGTTTTGGCTGCTTTGTTAAAGCGCCAAGGAAGTTTGGACAGATGTTCTGCAGAGATGAGTGATGCAACAAACTTTTTTGCCTGTGTGGCATCTCATCGGATCAAGCATTGTAAAGTTGAAACTGATGTCATAAAGTTGAAACAGGGTGTCAATTTATAAATATTGTAAGTGCAAAACATTGTAACTTGAAACACTGTAAGTCAAGGACTGCCTGTACAGCATCTACCTTACAAAACATCCCAGGCTCATCCCTGAGCCTTCTCATCTGTTCAAGCAATACTGTATCCACATAAAATTCACCATTGGCAAAGGTGGGTTTTTTTTCCTAAATGAACACTATCACTAAGGACCTGAAATGTGAATTAGCATTTTGAAAGAAAGGTTAGGTATTGCATGTCATCAACCCATGTTGGAGAGCCCTGCAGGACAAGATACACCTCCAAAACTATTTTCATTGTAGGGGGAGGAAAAAACAGGTTTTAAAACACACACAGCTGTGTCAAATGTAAAACAATTATTTGGCAAACTTTGGTAGCCTTCTGACCCAGTACATGGTCATAGAAGGTTGTTTTCTGTGTAAAATATCAACAGGATTTATATTAAACAATAAAATAACCCTTGGTACACTGGTATATTAACTTGTGGTTTCTCCCATATCCTTGATTTTTCTTTTCAATTTTTCCAGGTTTTGCCATGACCTTGCAGAACTCCTACCTTTCTGGCTCCATTAGAACCTTCTTCCCTCAGATGACAGATCTCCCCAGACACCAGCCACTCCCTTTCCCTATACCAGGGTGAGCAAAATATGGTCCACCGGCTGGATCTGGCCTGCAAGGCCATTCTCTCCGGCCCACAGGGCCCCTAAAAAATTTAGAAAATTAATATTTCTCTTCCCTTGGTTCCTGTCAAAAATGACAAGAACCAAGGGCAGTAGGACCCAGGGGAAGCCCTGGCAGGCTCCCACAACAGCAGGGCCTGCCTGGCCCTGCCCCCACAGCTGGAAGCCCCAGCAGGGGCTTCTGGCCTGGGACGATGTGGCTGCCCCACGCCGGAACCTCAGGTAAGGGGGAAGGGCAGGGAAGGACCCCGGGCAGGGGAGGAACCTGGGGAAAAGTGGCCCGGGGAAAAGCTGAGCACGGCGGGAGGTGGGGGGAAAGCGGCCCCTCCCTCACCCCGTGCCCAGTGCCCCGGGCTGCAGCTGCTCACGTCCCAAATGGGACTGCCTGTGCCTGCTCCAAACAGACCCGCGCAGGCTGCGCGCAGGGGGGGGCGCCAGCCACAGAGTTGGGGAGGGGCTGCTTCCCCCACACCCACGCGCGTTCAGCTTTTCCCTTGCTCCTTCCTGGCACAGAGGAAAGCAGCCCTTCCCCACCCCGTGGCCAGCG